CTACTCCAGCAGATTCACAGACACTAGAGGACGATATAAAAAAGACCTGGAAAACACTCTCTCAGATTCTAGGGACCCACAAACTGAGAAAAACCAAGAATATTGTCCTAACTAAACCTAATGAAACACCACTACATCCCACTGACACAGCTAACAAGATAAACGACTTCTTCTCAACCATAGGATCTAATCTCGCCAGTAAAATCCCACATACCAATGCCCATGCCGGGGACTACCTAGATGGGAATTTCCCTAATTCCTTCTATCTTGCACCAAATGAGCCCACGGAAGTCACTGAGATTATAAAGTCACTTAAAAATAACTCGGGGAATCTGTCTCATGTCCCACCATTACTGTACAAGCGAGCGGCCCATGTCTTTTGCATGCTATTTCATTACTTTTTAACAAGTCACTAGAAACTAGCACCTTCCCGAAACTACTCAAGATGGCAAGGGTTACACCAATACATAAAGGTGGTGACCCTACAAGACTTAAACAACTATAGGCCAATATCTAACTTACCATTGCTATCCAAAATCTTTGAGAAACTCGTGCACAGGAGACTATTCATTTATAACGGCTCAAAACATACTCAACCCCTGCCAATTTGGATTCAGGAAAAATAAAAGCACTAATGATGCAATCATAAAAATGCTAGATCTGCTTTACACAGCATTGGAAAATAAGGAATATCCACTAGGAATTTTTATTGACCTAAGAAAAACTTTTGACACAGTAGACCACGACATCCTACTCCACAAACTTGATCATTACGGTATAAGAGGCCATCGCTTGCTTATTTCAAATCTTACATTACTAATAGGTATCAGTACGTCACCATTAAAGACACAGCATCAGCAACACGGCCACTTGATACTGGAGTTCCGCAGGGAAGTGTCCTTGGTCCCCTGCTCTTCCTCATATACATCAATGACCTTCCAAATGTATCCCAACACCTGAAACCCATTCTCTTTGCTGATGACACGACTTATGTCATCTCTCACCCTAATCTTGCCACCCTCAACATCATTGTGAATGAGGAGCTGATTAAAATATCGACTTGGATGACAGCCAATAAACTTACGCTTAACACTGACAAAACCTACTATATTATGTTTGGTAGCAGAGCAGGAGATGCACAAATTAACATTAAGATTGACAACACTCTAATTACCAGAAATAATGGGGCAAATTCCTAGGCTTATACCTTGACAACAACCTGAATTTCAGCACCCATATCCAGCATATAACCAAAAAAGTATCCAAAACGGTTGGGATCCTCTCCAAGATACGATACTACGTGCCGCAAAATGCCCTTCTCACACTATACCACTCACTTATTTATCCATACCTCACCTATGCTATTTGTGCTTGGGGATCACCTGCAAAACACACCTAAAGCCAATAATAACCCAACAAAAAGCTGCAGTAAGAATAATCACTAAATCCCATCCCTGGCAACACACTTCCCCACTCTTCATAGACCTAAACTTACTCCCAGTTCAGTACATCCACACTTACTACTGTGCAATCTACATCTACAGGGCCTTAAACTCTAATATCAACCTTGACCTAAAACGCTTTCTTGATAGTTGTGACAGAACCCACAGGCATAACACCAAACACAAACATCTCTACGACATTCCCCGTGTCCGACTAAACCTTTACAAAAATTCAATGTATGTCAAAGGCCCTAAAATCTGGAATACCCTACCTGAGAACTCTAGAACTGCAGACACATTCATCACCTTCAAAACTACCATTAGAAAACATCTTATCTCCCTGATACACCCCGTCAACTAACTACACGAATACCACCTGGTGGTTCACACTTACACTCACTCACTCATTTGACCATAAACAGAAATATTAATCTCAATCTTAAAATAATGAATCCTGTGATACTCCAATACTGAAACTATGTACTGTGCCAAAACAAAAGCATTCACATTGCTAAACTCACAAACTAGTATTTAGTCACTTAGCCATAATACCAACTTACCTCATAATTTGTAATATTTTACAATTAAGAATAAAACTAAGTCTGCCCGAAATGCCTAGCCATGCTAAGCGTTCTAGTGGTACACTCTGTAATCACAATTTTACTACATGTAAACCACACAATAACCAAATTTCTGTAAACTCAGCATTGTAATCCTTATAGAGAATAAACTTTGAATTTGAATTTGAATTTCCCTTCTTGCTGATGGACCCTTCTTTAACCCACTCTCTCTCGTTGAATTTTTGACAGCAACTGATTTACTGCACAAACTCTGATGATGATGCCTCTAGCTCTCCTCAGCCTTTTCTACCTCAATCTCTTGCTACCTCTACCCCTGCACTATCCACTTCTTCGCTGCACTCCATGAAATAATCCCTCTCCCTCTTACAACCCAATACCCCTGTACCCTTCCCTGCCCAGCTTTTGTGATTATTCATATTGTACATTTAATTATTTCTTTTGTAATGATTATCAAGTGGCCCAAATTCAAGCCACTGATAACTGATAATTCATGTATTGTATCATTTATTATACAACTATATAATAATATATTATATTAAATACAATGATTTACGGTTTATAATATTTGTATCATCATTATGCCGCCAACTTGTTCAGGCTGCTTTACATTTAACTTCGTAATCAGTGTACACACATCTAAATCTAATTACAGCTGTAGCTTAAGACACTAATGCAGTAATAACTGCTGTCAGCTACTTCACAAGTGGGAATTAAATTTTGACATTCAAGCTAGACTACACGACTGCCGCTGGCCTGCTGTATGCATACCGTCATATAAATTGATTTCTCAACAAAAAATGTAGTGTGCAAATTAACTGGGACAGAAGTAAATTTTGTAATTATCTCATACTATGTCTTAGTCGGCTTTATCTTGCGAGGCCAGTGTGTGCGGCGGGATGAGATGAAATAACACAAACCTGGTGCCCCTGGGGTATGGGTAACGACATCTAGCTTTAGCTAGGAGCCCATACGGAAGAATGGACAGGGACTCGGACAGTGATCCTAACAGGTAGCAGGTCCAGCGCTGTGCCAGAGCTACGAGGCTTACAATAAGAAGGCTTCACATACATCCATACATCAGCTGTGACCCGCCTGTCCCTTCCCACATCCCTCAAAACTTTCTTAGTACGTTTTCTCATACCCTTCATAGCCATATAGTCCGTGAACTCATAAGTCGTAATGATTACCTGGAGAGAGTTCCGGGGGTCAACGCCCCCGCAGCTCAGTCTGTGGCATGTATAAATGTATAATAGTTTTGTTAAAATGTTGGTGTTGGTGTGACTTTCGAGAAATTGACATAGAAAGCCGCTTGTTATGCAGAACGTTTCGGGCAAATTAGGTCAGTTTTGTCCCAGGATACGACCCACACCAGTCTACTAGCACCCAGGTACCTATTTTCACTGATGGGTGAACATGGACAGCAGGTGTCTTATGGAAACACGTCCTAATGTTATCCAGCCGTACCGGGGATTTGATCTCCGGACCTCAGTGTGTGAGCTGAGTGCACTAGCGATCAAGCTAGGGAAGACGCAAGAGAAATGGCAAAGTAAACATTGATTATGTGACTGAGAGCCGTATCAAGTGTCATTGACGCCGAAAATGTCTAGATAGGTGTAAATGGAAAACTGGGTAATAAATAAACGTCAAAAAACAACGATATTATCGAATTACAAGAGAATGTCAGCCAGAGTATATATGAAATTGTGGAAAATAAGGAGACACTTAATCGTTTGAGTAGCACAACATGTGTAATGTACACTTCCATATATTTTCAGTAGTCTACAGGGTTGGCCAACTTTGTTAGCTGTTATTAGGGAAGTGTTAGGATGTGAATTACAGTTATAATGTGCGACCCAAGAAATGTGCGTAAGTGAATTTCTAAATTTGTGTAATTTCTGTGTAATATATGTATATGAATGGGGTTCATCTCTAGTGCAAATTGTGAATGAATATGTCATGTTTATCACGTACATTCTCCATGCATCTTCTTATAATGTGTGTAATTTGTGGACCAAACCACTAATTAGTAAGTCAGGTCATTAATATTACCACAGCCCACAACTATAATTTGTCAGTGTTACTGGTTTAAATTGAATAATCGATAATATCTGATAGGTTCAACTTATGTGAGTGTGGGAGTGAGGGTGGGCGTCGAAGGAAGTATAGTGCTGTGATCTATTGTACTTAAAGTCCCATCTATCTCCGAGGTACAACAAACATCAGTAAATGTAAGTTTTAATTTAGTTGTATCTACCCCAGATTATGTATAAGAAAAATCAGGTCAGTACCTGTGAACCTCATGTACATAACTTCTCACAGAGGGACTGATTACCTCAGACTCCTCTTATTCCACCTTTTTCTGCACTGGACTGAAGAAACCACTGTGGCGAAACGTTTCCAGAACAAAAATACCCAAATATTGCAAAGGTGTCTATATCATACGATTGTATTAGAAAAGGCTTAATTCAAACACGTGTACATTACATTTGGTTTAAAATTATAATTAAAATATAAAATAATAATTGAAATGAAATACAGAATCAGTGTCATACCGCCTCATTTGTGCTGCCAGGCGTACAAATATTTATGGTTGTAAGTGCGGATGGTCGTATGTTGGATAAGTCGTAAGTCGACGACTGTCTGCAATTTCGCCTGCCTTAAAGTTGCCATTAGTGTACAGCAGTATTTCAGCCTAGAGAGAACAAGTTATGTAAAGAGGATCATCATTAGCTTGGCATCCCTTGTTTGGAAGATTATTATTATCCATCTTATCATTTTCCTAGCAGATGTCAGGATCACAACTTTCTAGATGTGATAATATTGTTGTGATCTTTGAAAGTTAGATCCTCTGAAAAAATCACTCATAAGTCCTTCATTTTAGTTTTCCGTTCTATTGTCTGTTCAAATGTATATACTTAATATTATTAAATATTTATAATAGTAAATTAACCATTTTTGCTCATTTTACAACAGTTGTATACAGACCGACACTTTGGGATTTGTCACGACCTGACCGCCATACTTCACTCTCGAAACTCCATTGATCCTCTAGCACACACCTCCAGCCACCAGCCCAGAATATATACTTACGAACTTCAGTACAGAGGAGAGCACTCCTTAGTCGACTTATATAACATGACCGTCGGAAAACACTGTAAGTTTTGGCTGTTCTTGTGTGCTCCAGTTTAGCTTGGGTTTATTAATAGTATTATATTTACAGGGAAGCGCTAAACCTCCAAGGGAATGGGAAGGACTGGACATAATTTGGCGTGATCCACGAAAGGACAGCTCCAATTCCTGGGAGAAAGAACCCTTCCACCATTAAGTCTTTTTCTTATGGATAGCTTCACTATTAATCCAGTCTAGAGCTTCCAATTTACACTTTTTTACTAAATCACTTCAGTCACGTGCCAGATATTATTCATCTCTCTCAACATATTCATTATAAAACTGAATTACTCTGTCCCAGTTCACTTTACTAAGAGAGTTAAAGTATTACCTGTAAAGCATTAAATTAAAACTTACCAAGAACCTTTATTTCTTTATAGAGACTCGACAGATCTTTAGCTACCTGCGTACAGAAGGGCCCTGCTTTACAGCGCTTCGCTTTACAGTGTTTTACTAGTGTAGCAGGTTTTAATTATACCTATTCTTCATTTGTTCAGACTTCTTACAATAAATGTATTCACCACTCTAAGCTAAAGACTAAAATCTTTTAGGTAAGTAATGTATGTACTGTATATGCATTTTTTAGGTCTAGCTCTGTTTCTCACTTAATATGTGATAGTGTAAACAAATCATATTGTAAACATGTTATCAGGCTTTTAAATGCATTTGAAAATGGAAAAAAAGCTGTGATTTTCACTTTACAGCAGTAGCCGAGAACCTAACCTGCTGTATAAGCGAGGCCCACCTCTACCTGCATTGATTGAATATTGTATATATAAGATAAGATGAGATAAGATTTCGTTCGGATTTTTAACCCCGGAGGGTTAGGCACCCAGGATAACCCAAGAAAGTCAGTGCGTCATCGAGGACTGTCTAACTTATTTCCATTGGGGTCCTTAATCTTGTCCCCCAGGATGCGACCCACACCAGTCGACTAACACCCAGGTACCTATTTGCTGCTAGGTGAACAGGACAATAGGTGTAAGGAAACGTGTCGAAATGTTTCCACCCGCCGGGAATCGAACCCGGGCCCTCCGTGTGTGAAGCGGGAGCTTGAGCCACCAGGCCACTCAAATGTTGCCAATAACCACATTTCTCATATTCCCTATAGTAGCCATTTATTTTTGCTCCCTCCAAAATAAATCACCAAATTATAATAAGAATTATGCTGGCCGAAATACATTTTCCATTCATTGAGCTCAAAAACTGCTCTACAGTGTTCACGAATAACATATTTTTATACATCTCCACATTCTGGTATTGTACCATCAGTGTATTATACGTACAGCTATAAATTTGTTTCAACATATATTGTTTATACAGAAATGGGTGGCACTTTAGATCATTTCGGCCGAGTAAACGAGCAACTAATTAAACATTCATTTATATTATTTTCTGACATATTAATAAACTAGGTCATCAGACCTTCCACTAGCCATTTGTTCAGTATTTTCTTCAACCGCATCATCGTGCATCAACCGTATCATTTTGCATTCAGTTTACCACTCTGATAATTCATCTCACTGAGCATTCAAAATCAAATCAAATCCTTTATTTCTGTGAGGGAAAAGTTCATTAGATAGGAGTGGAAGTATGAATAAGTGGTGGTGGTAATTTGTCAGGCAGTATGCTTGTTCTGTAAGGTGTATGCAGCGGTGCTGCTATTTCCTCCCCATCCTCCCCATCCTTCCCATCCTTTCTCCACCCGGTGGCAGTTGACGTGTCTCTCCGACAAGTTGACAATCACTTGACTTTCGGTTCCCATCAAGTCTGTAAGTATCCAATCCACTCCTTTTTAATAATATATTTTGTTTTGTTTAATTAAGTTTAAACAAGAGCTTCACATTTGTTTAGGTCTATATTTTGGTAATTCACCCTAACCTAATTTGGATTTACGTAGAGTAACGTAATCATATTTGCCCTCACCATTTCTTTTGAAGGCAGTACGCCGATCATGTGAGTGATTTCTTGATTGGTTTGTTTGTAATTGTCTGCTTCTTCTTATAGTCATGATTGTCAGCTCGGGTCATCCAACAAATGCGAAATAGGAGAAGCAGATATCTAAGATTAGATCAAACTGGCATCTTATCTAAACTGGTCCCCTTGAACTCGTAGCTGACACGTAACCATCTGCATACCATCCTAAAGTAAGTTTATTCAGGTATACACAAATAGTTACATAGATTATCATACATAGCAGCATATGTGTAGAGAACCTAGGATAACCCCAAAAAGTTACTTTCCTTTCCATTCCCTTTGTCTCCCCCCCTTCCCCCCGACATCACTAATTATTTATACATTTCATTTTCCATTCTTTGCTTCAGGTAGGCTTATTTTCATATTGAAGTTTTTTATATACAATACAAGTTCTGCATATTATTAATAACATTGTTTATCTTAATGTTATCATTAATTTTTCTTTTCTTTTTTTCATTTCTATGAGGAGGAACCGGCCTTATCAAATTATGTCTGATAGAGCTGTTGAATCTTGACAACTTCTTTATACAGTACAATGTGTAATTTACATATGTTATAAAATATTGTCAGCCAAAAGACTTGGCAGACGATGCAACATCCCCCCAATGAAAAGCAGGGGGTCACTAGCACGTTAAGAGACAATACAATAAGTGTCAGGGGACCGAGACTGTTCAACTGCCTCCCAGCATACATAAGAGGGATTACCAACAGACCCCTGGCAGTCTTCAAGCTGGCACTGGACAAGCACCTAAAGTCGGTACCTGACCAGCCGGGCTGTGGCTCGTACGTTGGTTTGCGTGCAGCCAGCAGTAACGGCCTGGTTGATCAGGCTCTGATCCACCAGGAGGCCTGGTCACAGACAGGGCCGCGGGGGCGTTGACCCCCGGAACTCTCTCCAGGTAAACTCCAGGTCATAAAGCTGTTAGCATGGATGAGCATTACGTTGGAGCCACGTCGCAAACTTCCCTCTATAATTTTTTTTCAGACAATAAACTCAGTTAATATTCCCATATTTTCAAAATCCTTCGTGTGTTACATATTTCCCTTAAACTTGTTCCAACACAATACCCTGATGTCATCCCATCCTACTCCTGTATACAAAGAAAAAGATTCATTGCTCCTTCCTCACCTTAATTATTTTTACTACTTTCCAAATATTTTTACTGTTTTCTCTACTGTTAAAAGTACATTTGTATATTTTTTTTAGTATCTTCTCTTCTAACAAAACTACTTTTCAAGATTAGATAGGAATACTTCCTTTTATCTTGTTGCCCTCCAGATCTCCCATCTCTTCTAATTATCAACCTCACATCATCTCTTCTAATTATCAACCTCACATCATCTCTTCTAATTATCAAACTTACATCATCTCTTCTAATTATCAACCTCACATCATCTCTTCACCACTTAGGATAATATTGTAGCTTTAGCTTCTTCTATAAGCATCGTCACCCCAAGTGTTGCCTCGGCTTTAAATAAAATAAAAGGCTAAGGGATTGAACACCTTAAAATTGCACCAACATTTCTTCCACTGTCTCCAGTATGTTTCCTCTATATTTGCTTAGAAATAGATACCCAAGTGTTACACACGTTTTATTCATCAGCTTGTTGATACTGTATACCATTTATGTACGATTCACAGATCTTAAACAACAGGGTCATAGAGCGAGTGTGTAAAACTTATAATTTCAGCAATGTCTGTGTCATCCATTAGAGGAAACAATAATTCCTTTTAAGCTAGTCTTGCCATCATATATGTGACTGGTTTCGAGAGCTCTTCTATTCTCAAATCCTGGCCTGAGGCCATAAATCATTATTGACTACCCGGGCAACAGGTTGTTGCTGCCAACAACCCAAAGGTTGATGTGGCTATGACAGCCTGGCTGCTCTTACGTTTGATCTAGGTTGAGAACGTTATTATTTTAGGGGAAATCTAACGTAAACACATGAACTTTTTTATTTTTCGTTCGATTTCTTTCATTTCTTTTTTTTTTTTTTTGTACGTAAAGAAGCACCTTTCAATAGTAATGTGACCAAGTTTCAATAAGATAGCTCAAAAAACAACTGAGAAAAAAATTATTTACTAATAATCATACATATTGAACAGAAACTTCGACATGGGACTTGGAGAAGCTGTTTTGGCATTATCTACGCATAAAACAATGCTTAAATGTATTTCTAATGGTTAGCCGTTCTGTAATTTATCCTTTCTTCATTCTTAAAAAAATAAATTTTGTATGGTTTTGACTTTCAGCCAAATATCTGACTTTTGCCCTCACATAAATCAAAAACAAATTTTGATATCTCAAAAAGCAAACCATTAGCTTGTAAAACAATCTTTCCTTTATGTTCTCTGTGAATTTCATTACATTCCTGTTATTATTAACGAATTTCGTGGCTCATATATGTGAATAACTTACTTCCGAGATAATCCGCGAAACAGCCGGACCACCGATTTTTTTTTTTTTTCGAGAAAATAACATTTTTCTCAGTCTCATACTGCATTACGAGTGTATATCATAGTTACCCATGTTAGTTTTCTTTAATATAAGGACCCTGGAGGTGAAAGAAAGAGAATGGAAGCCCCTCTCTGAGAATGGGAATCTATTATTCCGATGGAGCGCTCTGGGAATATGCCATATATTATACATTCTGGAGTATTTACCATATTTCTTTGTTATTTATATTGTTTATTATGTCATATTAGATCAATTGTGATAGATAAAATAGCCGTAGAAGCTATAATAGCGTTATATTGAGCCATATTCCCGGCCACCCCGAGACTGGAATTTTCCATGACGTCAGCAAAATGGTGTCGGGAGGTTCCTGGTTGGTTGGAACTCTACGTATAAGTCCCGCCCAATGTATTATGATGCCAAATCGTCAATTATTATCTTAGAAAGAATTAATACAATAAATACACAAAAAAAAAAAAAAACGGAAAAAAAAATTGACGACAGGTGAGCACACCTGCCGCGGGTGGTGACGTAACCCTAGGTGATTTAAATGACCAAATTCCTTGTAGGAATGTCGTAGAACAATGATTCTGGTACCATTGTGTTGCCAGAGAGTTAAGCTATTTTTATATAAGATTAATTCAGTTTGTGAATTTTTAGACAAAATTTTTCGTTCGCGCTGAGTAAGTATAATTCCCCCTTTAGCATCCATAAACTCTATTCATTCAATTCAATTCAAAGTTTTATTCTCTATAAGGATTACAATGCTGAGTTACAGAAATTTGGTTATTGTGTGGTTTACATGTAGTAAAATTGTGATTACAGAGTGTACCACTAGAACGCTTAGCATGGCTAGGCATTTCGGGCAGACTTATGTTTTATTCTTAATTGTAAAATATTACAAATTATGAGGTAAGTTGGTATTTATGGCTAAGTGACTAAATACTAGTTTGTGAGTTTAGCAATGTGAATGCTTTTGTTTTGGCACAGTACATAGTTTCAGTATTGGAGTATCACAGGATTCATTATTTTAAGACTGAGATTAATATTTCTGTTTATGGTCAAATGAGTGAGTGAGTGTAAGTGTGAACCACCAGGTGGTATTCGTTGTAGTTAGTTGACGGGTGTATCAGGGAGATAAGATGTTTTTTAATGGTAGTTTTGAAGGTGATGAATGTGTCTGCAGTTCTAGAGTTCTCAGGTAGGGTGTTCCAGATTTTAGGGCCTTTGACATACATTGAATTTTTGTAAAGGTTTAGTCGGACACGGGGAATGTCGTAGAGATGTTTGTTTCTGGTGTTATGCCTGTGGGTTCTGTCACAACTATCAAGAAAGCGTTTTAGGTCAAGGTTGATATTAGAGTTTAAGGCCTGTAGATATAAATTGCACAGTAGTAAGTGTGGATGTACTGAACTGGGAGTAAGTTTAGATCTTTGAAGAGTGGGGGGGTGTGCTGCCAGGGATGGGATTTAGTGATTATTCTTACTGCAGCTTTTTGTTGGGTTATTATTGGCTTTAGGTGTGTTGCTGCAGTTGATCCCCAAGCACAAATAGCATAGGTGAGGTATGGATAAATAAGTGAGTGGTATAGTGTGAGAAGGGCATTTTGCGGCACGTTAGTATCGTATCTTGGAGAGGATCCCAACCGTTTTGGATACTTTTTTGGCTATATGCTGGATATGGGTGCTGAAATTCAGGTTGTTGTCAAGGTATAAGCCTAGGAATTTTTCCCCCATTATTTCTGGTAATTAGAGTGTTTGTCAATCTTAATGTTAATTTGTGCATCTCCTGCTCTGCTACCAAACATAATATAGTAAGTTTGTCAGTGTTAAGCGTAAGTTTATTGGCTGTCATCCAAGTCGATATTTTAATCAGCTCCTCATTCACAATGGTGTTGAGGGTGGCAAGATTAGGGTTGAGAGATGACATAAGTCGTTGTCATCAGCAAAGAGAATGGGTTTCAGGTGTTGGGATACGTTTGGAAGGTCATTGATGTATATGAGGAAGAGCAGGGGACCAAGGACACTTCCCTGCGGAACTCCAGTATCAAGTGGCCGTGTTGCTGATGCTGTGTCTTTAATGGTGACGTTACTGATACCTATTAGTAATGTAAGATTTGAAATAAGCAAGCGCATGGCCTCTTATACCGTATGTGGTCAAGTTTTTGAAGTAGGATTTCGTGGTTTACTGTGTTCAAAAGCTTTTCTTAGGTCAATAAAAATTCCTAGTGGATATTCCTTATTTTCCAATGCTGTGTAAAGCAGATCTAGCATTTTTATGATTGCATCATTAGAGCTTTTATTTTTCCTGAATCCAAACTGGCAGGGGTTGAGTATGTTTGAGCGTTTATTAAATGAATACAGTCTCCTGTGCACGAGTTTCTCAAAGATTTTGGATAGCAATGGGAAGTTAGATATTGGCCTATAGTTGTTAAGTCTGTAGGGTCACACCTTTATGTATTGGTGTAAACCCTTGCCATCTTGAGTAGTTTCGGGAAGGTGCTAGTCTCTATTGACTTGTTAAAAAGTAATGAAATAGCATGCGAAAGGACATGGGCCGCTCGCTTGTACAGTAATGGTGGGACATGAGACAGATTCCCGAGTTATTTTTAAGTGACTTTATGATCTCAATGACTTCCGTGGGCTCAGTTGGTGCAAGATAGAAGGAATTAGGGAAATTTCCATCTAGGTAGTCCCGGCATGGGCATTGGTATGTGGGATTTACTGGCGAGATTAGATCCTATGTTTGAGAAGAAGTCGTTTATCTTGTCAGCTGTGTCAGTGGGATGTAGTGGTGTTTCATTAGGTTTAGTTAGGACAATATTCTTGGTTTTTCTCAGTTTGTGGGTCCTAGAATCTGAGAGAGTGTTTTCCAGGTCTTTTTTATATGTCCTCTAGTGTCTGTGAATCTACTGGAGTAGTATAGTTGTTTGGCTTTTTTTATTACTTTGGTGAGAGCTGATGAATAGTGTTTAAGAGTATCTTTGTGTATTAAGCCCTGTCTATATTGCTTTTCATATTGGTGTTTCTTGTCAATGGATTTCAGAATGGTGCTGGTTAGCCATGGGCAACCAAGCCGTTTGTTTGTGATCTGTTTTGTTTTTATAGGACAATGTTTTGTTGTATAGTCTAAGTAATTTGTTAAGAAAGATGTCTGTCCAGTCATCAATACCATTGGCCTTGGAGAATTCTGTAGGCCAATCAACAGTCTCTAGGTCAGCTGTGAACTTCCTTACTGAGGCCTCGTCATGGAGTCTAAATGAGACTTTGTTGTATTCAAGTGGTGGTTTACTAATGTTTGTCAGGAGGAAGGTAGGGTAGTGGTCTGTAGTGCTATCTGTGATTATCCTGATTTAAGGGGGGCTAGTATATTGGTCCATATGTGGTCTATTATGGTTGCACTTGTCTCAGTGAGCTGGTTGGTTTAGTTATTGTTGGTATGAGAAGTGTGTCTAGTGCATACTTATTAAAAAACATCTCTACATTCGTTCGTTCCATTGCTGCACACTAATGGCAAAGAGCCAAATGTTTTATCACTAACACCACCTTCTACCTTCAGTTGAGAACGCAAACTTTATTTTATTTTTTCTCTGTCCATCACTCGTTGCATGTCTCACTTTTGACAGGGGTGACCCACGCAGACGAACTACCCTACCTCTTCCCCTCGGGACGGTTTGAGCTCACTCGCGCTCCTGACCTTGCCCTCGGAGATCTCTTCACTAAACTCTGGACCAACTTCGCCGATACTGGGTACAGTGCTCTCTCTCTCTCTCTCTCTCTCTGTCTCTTCTCTCTCTCTCTCTCTCTCTCTCTCTCTCTCTCTCTCTCTCTCTCTCTCTCTCTCTCTCTCTCTCTCTCTCTCTCTCTCTCTCTCTCTCTCTCTTTCTCTCTCTCCAGATTTACAAAGCTAGGTTTAAGGTTTCTATTTAAGGTTTCTAACTATTTTTTTTTTTACATTTAAAAAATTTATTTACACTGTTGTTGTTATAAAGCACTGTATACTCATACTGCTATTACTACTAATACTAATACACTGTAATATTATTATTATTTAAACTTGAATGAATATTTCGTTCTGGGTTCAGGAACCCAACGCCAGACTCATCTTTGGGTTTCATCTTGGAACCTACCACAGAAGCTCACCTGCAGCACCTGGTCCTGTCTCCTTCACCTTTCATGCAGAACGACACCAGACGTCAGGTGAGTGTTGCAAGGCCTTAAGTAGGCCTTTCGTGATTCAGTACGCACTATATTTTCCTGTTTAAAGGGGTCCATTGCGCAGTACCACTCGAGATCAACCAGGCTGTGAAAGATATGTGGGGCAGAGGGCCACCAGCAGCAACAAAGCCTGGTTGCCTAAGCAAGCGCCAGACGAGCCTGGCCCATGGCCGGGCTCCGGGAGTAGAACAACTCTGAACTCAAGGGTATATCGAAGATATGATGTAATGGTCTGTATAATTTTTCACATACGGTTTACAGGAAGTTTTTTGATCTACGTTGATTAAGTTAGTGTCCTTTGTCTATAAAAATTAGCCGGTTTTACCATACCACAATGCCACAAAAAAAAAAAATACAGTATATGATGATGACGATAAAAGACTAACGCACGAACAGAAAACGCATTATAAATGTATCTATTTCTACAAGTACATGTTAGATGAGCGCTGTTTAATAATAAATCTAATAATACTCGTGGAAAATTGCATTTATCTGAATATATCATTATGTACATAACAGTAAATAAACATGATAATTATTATTTATCAGTTAGACAAGTAGGAATTTGGGACACCTAGGTCGCAAAAATGTCCCCCTTCGATACCTACCACTGTCATATCCACAAGTTGCTCTGGACCTATTAATTAAATGAAATATACATCACCAGGAATGTGGTAAATATATATTAATTTGTGGACTGTATATTAAATTAAAAAAAGATTATAGTATATACACACATTTATATAACAGAAGGAGAATATATCTTAATCATAACACTCACCAATTTGACTGGAGATTAAGTTGTATCATACTCAGAAAACCTCACTGTCTATACATGAAAATAACAAGTGGCCAGAGTTATAACATAACAGACTTATCTGAGGTTCCTGGAGCTGTCTTGTCCAGTCGCCTGATATCTCAAGTTATGCAGGACTGCACATCCAACAATTTCGCCTATTTGAAAGGTGTCAACCCAATTTTAACCTCTAGAGCACGAAAAATTCTTCCCATTACACTAACATTTACTTGGCTCATTCAAACCAAAATGGCGACTGACCTCCCCAGCCGCAGTTTTCCCATTTTCGATAACATACTTCTTTTAAAAATACAATATAGGGCATCTATTTACCTATAAATTACCGCATTTCCGGAAAAATATATATAGTATTTTCCACACTGCGGCCGGCCGGAGTTCGTTGCTAAACGACTCAAATTGCTCATTTGACAATGGTGGAGGACCTGGGTACATATAGGATCTGGCATCCACATGGCGACATATTACACAAGATTTAATCACCCTTTTTACACTTTGCCATCCTTGTGGAATCCAGAAAGTTTCCCTAATACAATTTAAGGTATCTTGTACCCCACCATGCATTACATTTTTATGGACATTTAGAACAATTAAATTTGTGAGATGATGAGTTTTGGGCAGTAAGATAGGGTGTTTAGCATAATCACCCAATTCAGCATTTTGTAACCTACCTCTGCACCTAATTACATTGTTATCTAAATACAGCCCCAATTTCTCTATTATGGAACCTTTCACAATTTTTCTTTCCATCATCAATTTAATCTCATTTCCATAGATTTCTTCTTGTACCCTCTTTATCCAATATTCAAGAGGATGTGAAAACTTATATGAAATATTCATCTTGTTTAGAAATTTAAACACCAACTTAGTTACATTGATAAGTTTGGGTAAAGAAGAATACCTCTTTATATCAGTGGCTAAGGAAGGACAAGCAATTGGAGCGGTTATCACAGTAATTTCAACAGGAGCAATATACACCTTTTGTACAGGCCAATTAGCTTTATTTACCAACCAGCTCGGTCTTTTAAACCATGACACAGCATTTACAAATTTAGCATAAGGTAAACTTCAAGACAAGAAATTAGCTGGATTCTCCTCACCAGGTATATGATTAAATGTTAACATATGCTGACCCAAACTATTATACTTCTCTTGCATCTGATTAATTTCAGCGACTCTGTTTTGTACGTACACAATTTTACTGTTTCCATTACGAATCCATTGTAAGGATACCTCATTATCAGACCAAATTACAGTGTCGCTAATATTTATCTCCTGCAACTTATTTCTTATATAATTAGCTAATTTGACACCTACATAGATGGCTGTTAATTCCAACTGAGGCAAGGTGCATGATTTAATTGGAGACACTTTAGCCTTAGACATAAGAGAAATAACACTATTACATTGAAGTTAAGCAACTGCTCCATATGCCAATTTTGAAGCATCACAAAAAATGTGGAGTACATTTTTCCCTTTTGGTTGGCCACCTGGCATGGGAACTCCAACATTGGAATTTTCTCATAATCACCAATTAATTCATCCCATTTGTTAATGAATTCCTCAGGTAGAATTTCATCTCAAGCACATTTAAGTTTCCGTGCTTCCTGTATTAATAAATTTCCCTCTTATAGTAAGGGGTGACACTAAACCTAGTGGATCAAAACATTTGGAAATTTCAGCAAGCAAACTCTCTTAGTTAATTTATTGGGCATACTGTAATTATTAGGTTTTAACATTAACAAATCTCTCTCTTTCCCCAAAGTTAATCCTAATAATTACTACTTTTTGGCATTTCATCCCAGGGAACCTTTACTTATTTTGTCCTTTTTTTGGGAAACGAATTACTTTTCCTTTCCCCTAGAGGCTATTTTTACTCGCATTTTTTCATTAGCCTCTCCGAAGCATTAACAGTTCTCTTCGTTGACGTCAACCCCCGGGAAAATTGTCCACTAAAATTGTTTGTCTTATTTTCCCCAATGGATTTCCCCGTACGTTTAAGGTGTGCATTTATCGCGTTTAAAGTGGAAAACAGACGGATGTAGCACAAATAATCACTCCAAAAAGAAAAGGTTTTCAGAGGGCTAAGGGGTCTTTGGATTTAAGGCCATAAGAAGGGGTTTACAACCCCGGTAGCCCTTGTAAACCCACTTTAGGAAAGCTTTACTTATGTTTGCCGTAAAGGGCTAGTGCTTCACTCTAAAATTAAATAAGATATCTCTAATTTTTCCGTCAACGAGGACCTGTCATCAGTATTTAAATAACATTTTTGTTACTCCTGGAAATAAAATTTAAAACACAATCCCAAAGGGAGGGGTCTTAGAATCTTCTTACTCCGTGATATGGCAAATGTGACCAAAAATTTTGGCTTGTCGGAGGTAGTTTTCTTAAATTTAGAAATTAATGTCAGCAATTATATCTTATGGCAGTTAAAAATTCGGGTGTTTACTCGTTCGCGGAGCTGAGCCTTTTTTGTCCATTGCCATTCTGTAATTAGGGGGAAATTTTGGGAGGGTTCAGTCCACGAAGTGCACCCAGTATTGTCCAGATTAAATTTTACATTTTGGTATGCTCCTGGTAAAAGAATCGTCGAACTTTCTTCTTTTACATTTATTCCAATGTGTTAAATTTCCCCAAAATTTTTGCACTGGTCAAACCATCCTCTACGGAAGAATTATGCTGGGGTAAACTTCATGGAAAGACACACAGTTTGGTTTTTTTTAGTTTCCTTAGTCATGAATTATTTTTAAAAGGAATCCTACCATAATTACAGGGCCCTCCTGCGTTTTTTAAAAAGGGTTGAACCACTTTCTTTCCCATCCTTACAAAGGAGGCATAATGTCATACCTATCAAAATATTGGGCTCGAATCATCACTTCACCGAAGGGGCTAAATTTTACATTATGTGGAGTTTTCTGTAGCTTTACAAAGCCCTCTGTAGTTTTTTCTCGGAAAAGTTTCTCAATTACGCTTTTAACCATTTTTTTCTTTTCCCCAACCTGACAGTTCAAAAAAGTGTCTAAAATGACCCCTTTTATCTGGGGGAAAAAACCAGATAATTTTAGATTTGTGGGATCTCCCATTGTACTTTCTACCATCAAGAATTTTTTTAAATGAAAGTACGTTGGACCCCTGGTCTAAATGCGTTCATTTTTTTTTTATGTTTTTTTCACAATTTTCACCTGTAACACAGGTAAGGCTACTTTGGAAAACCATCATTTATTAACATTGCAGCAATTTTTACTTTCTACTGTTGTGTCGGATTTTCAACATTATATTATTATCAACATTAAAATTGACCCCCTTTCACATGATTATGGTGCCTTCCTTTGTGACATGATAACAGTTTTGTTTAATTGGCTGACAACCCTTTAAATTGTGTTTCCTAAACATCTGATACACTGTCAGTTCTTCCAATTTTCAACTTTTCATTCCATGAATTTTATGCATTGCGTTCTTAGAAAAATAGTACCCTTGCAGAAAGACATCTCTATTTTTTCTGATGGTTTCTTATTAACTGGGCTATTTAGGAGGGTATTTTTCTTCTTACCCTTTTGGGGGAATCTTTTTTTGATTCCCGCTACTTGATTGCCCCAGAAAAAAATCTTTTTAGGAAATGAATTTTTCTATTAAAAATTGGGATAATTTTTTCCTTTGTGAAAAACTGAAAATATTCAGAGTTTTATTGTTGCATCTTTAAAGAGTTTAGTTGGCTGGTTGCAAATGAACAATTAATTTTTTTGTGACCCGTTTATTTCCTCAGACCAAAAAAATCTTGTGATTTTATGAGATCCATTCAAGTGTTTTACGCTTTTTTTTCTGTACTATGGCACCGTAACCAGTCTGATTCCTTCAGATTATATTTATTACTAAAGTTTTGAGGTGCTCTCCCGTTTAAAATCTAAATGCTGTAAACCTTTATAAGGTGATCTGGAGATTTTAAATTAACAATGATATTATGATCCAAACCCACTTTGTTTATATTACCAAGTACTTTAACAGAACTGTTCCTTGTAGAGTCATCTACATTGGAAAGGCTTTTGGGTATGTGAGTTCTCCCTTATTGTCCCTTTTAGGTAAAAAAATTTAGTTACACAGGCTAGACATCCTATAGCACAGTGCTTTAAAAAATTTACCAAATTCCCCCCCAATTTTCTCCAGGTTAAACACAGGCAAAAAACAATTTGGGAGTTTTGCAAAAACATAATTTGTTGGAGCAGACTGCCCCTGCCCCGATTTACACTTTTTTAATTTATTCAAGGCCTGACTTTTAAAGAATCTTTTCCCCTAATTATTAAGATTAATCATGAGTCAATTTTTAGTTCCTCACAGTTTGGACCTATTATTAAAAGAAATAACATCCCGGAATGCTGGTAAATATATTTAATTTGTGGTGTATATTAAAATTAAAAAAGGATTATAGCATATACACACTTTATTATAACAGAAGGAGAATATATCTTAATCATAACACTCACCAATTTGATGGAGATTAAGTTGTATCATACTCAGAAAACCTCACTGTCTATATATGAAAATAACAACTGGCCAGAGTTATAACATAAAACAGACTTATCTGAGGTTCCTGGAGCTGTCTTGTCAGTCGCCTGATATCTCAAGTTATGCAGGACTGCACATCCAACAATTTCGCCTATTTGAAAGGTGTCAACCCAATTTTAACCTCTAGAGCACGAAAAATTCTTCCCATTACACTAACGTTTACTTGGCTCATTCAAACCAAAATGGCGATTGACCTCCCCAGCCGCAGGTTTCCCATTTTCGATAACATACTTCTTTTAAAAATACAATATAGGGCATCTATTTACCTATAAATTACCGTATTTCCGGAAAATATATACAGTATTTTCCACAATAATAATAATCTTTATTTCTAAAAGTACAATGTATACATGCCTAGCTGACATCAATGACATACTACTACGAATATAGAAAGCCCCTTGTTATGCAGAGCATTTCGGGCAAATTAGGTCAATTTTGTCCCAGGATGCGACCCACACCAGTCGACTAACACCAGGTACCTATTTTTACTGATGGGTGAACATGGACAGCAGGTGTCTTAAGGAAACACGTCCTAATGTTTCCAGCCGTACCAGTGTGTCGACCACCGGACCTCGCTGAGTGCGCTACCAGTCGAGCTTAAGGTTCGCTGAACAGTCGTTTGACTGTTTCAGCAACAGCGATATACTATTTCTTATTGAGTAAGAGGATGGGCCTAACAATTTAATTTTGTCCCTGCAAATAAAATTTGAATAACATATTCAATGTTCTTTTTTTATGAAAATGTGTGATTTAAATCAGTGAGATGTGTGGACTGTTGAGTAGTTCTAATAGCAAAATTTTGCAGATTTTTAAATATAATTGAAATGGGGATTACCAGATTTCCGTCAAAACACTAGACTGCCTCATTCGATCGACTTCAAACTTTCAGTAATTGTGTATATTTCTCAGGGGAAGGTTTGCATTATTATTGCCTAGGAGAATAATTGGTGCTCTTAAGAAAAGACACATGCAACTAATGCGACAAATTGTGGGAACGTTTCACTCTCCAGGAGCTTTGTCAAGCCAGCTTGACAAAACTGGAGAGCGAAACGTTCCACAAAAATGTCGCATGAGCTGCACGCATCCTTTTACCTAATATATTGTCGGTAATTTCTACCAACATTATTACAATAAGTGGTGTTTTATAAAAATCAGTGTTTGTTTCTGTGAGGTGAGAACGAGGCTAGTACTCTCTGTAATCACTGTTCCTTCAGTGATTGTAGTTGTGCAGTTCTTCTGACATCACTGACCTACTGTCCTCAGTCTCTGTGCTTAGCGTTCGTGTTGAGCTCCAGGTTCTTGGCCTCTTGAAGGTGTTGATCAGTAGTTTCCAGGTCATTTAATAGTGTTAAGCTGCATGTACAAGGCTTCTCGTTAGATTATTAACCAAAAGCTCTTGGGCCTTTCGAAGACGTTGATCTCCAGCTTCGGGACCCATTGGGAGGATTATAGCTACTGGGGTCTCTTGAAGGAGCTGAACTGCAGGTCCTCTGCCTATTGAAGGTTTTGATGTATACCTGTGTCTCAGAGTTGTACTTACGTTGAAGGTTGTAGTGGTATGCGTATGATACTTTTCTGGGATGGTTGAGTGACTGAAATATCTACTTAGTATTATCAATATTATTGACTGTTGCAACCATTGCAGGAGAGAGAGTTTCTGACGTCACTTTCCACGCGTCAGTACCGTCTACTGCTGGGAGAGGACATCCCTTTAGACAAGGTGGCCTACTCACTCGTGCAGGAGGAACAAGCAACACTCTCAACAACCGCTGCCAATACATTCAAATCCCTGAAGTTCTGGTGAAGGGAAGGAAGCGTGGAGAATTGGAGATGGTTAATGACATTTTATTCATTAGGGAAATTGTCTTTTTACAAAGGCTTCTATAACCAGCTCAGTGGCTACGTAACCTCTAACTGGTGATACCATACGCCACAAGCTGTTCTTAGTTTAATAGCCTTGTTATGCACCCATACCCTTCCTGTGGATGATAGTTAAATGATTACAGAGACGCATAATGGGTCCAGGGGCTGAACCCTATTTTTTTGATAACTAAACAAGTTAGAGTGGTAATGAACTATCTACATGTTCATATCTGGTTACAGTCGCAATGTTAGTTTTTTTATACAGATATGAATTAAGTAAAAAAAAATATTACAGTATGTGGTACTGAATTATATTTTTATTTATATTTTAGCAAGATATGGTTGAATTTAAACAAGATTAAGTGGTTACTAGTTATTTACAGTAGGAAAAAAATACCAAGTCAGGGTATTTTTCCAGGATGGACTTTGCTCATTGTAAATAACTCAAAACAGCTCCTGCACGGTGTTCCCGTGCTGGGTATCCCTTACTATTTATAAAATTTAACGAATCATCGCAAATGTTTAAGAAGTGTCGAAATATTTTATCCACAGTAGCCTATTACCATTCTGGAAAAATACTTTGATTTTTGCGTATTGTAAATAAAACAGTATGAATAACTTAAAACTACACACAAACTACATTGTAATCTTTTGCGGCTGAATTCATGTCTGTATTAAAACTGCAGTCAGTCCAATAACGTATAAGTAGTTAATTACCACTGTAACTTAGTTATCATTACATGGGTGTCCAGTCCCTGGGCCCATCATGTGCCTCAAATGTCTGTCTTCCGGCTACATGATCAGTACGGGGCGTGTGATAAAACTATTAAACTAACAAACGTTACGTCTTGTACAAACCTTTAGGTATATGTTGACTGGAGTTATTTATATTATGGACTTTACCTTAGTACAGTATAGTGTAGTCATAAAATACATTTCAGAATAATTATACTTAAAGCGTATAAAAGTCACACTGCACAATCTTAACCACTTGTACAGAAATGTTAAAGAGAAATGTAATTCTTCTTCAGTACGATACCCATTCCAGTAGGTTTTCTGACTGACGACATAACACAGATCTGTCTCACCTGTATTTCGTATTTTTGTCCGAGTGTTTCTTGTAAACTCCCCCGAGGCCTGTGACCAGGTCACGGGGGCGTTGATCCCCGAAATCCTCTCCAGGTATACGTTATGTGATAAATAATACAATACATGGATATCAATTATCAATGGCGTGAATCTGGAGCCACTTGATATTCATTACACGCATAATTCTATGTATAATCACATTTATGTTCAATGCATTATTATTGCAGTTTATGTGTATCACCATTATACCACCAGCTTGTTCAAGCTGTTTTTCATTCAACATAATGTACACACATCTAAACCTAATTACAGCTGTAGCTTAAGACACACTAATGCAGTAAGAGCTGCTGTCAGCTACTGCACTAGTAGGAATTAAATTTTGACATTCAAGCTAGGCTGCATGACTGCCGCTGGCTGCTGTGAGTATGCAGTCATAAAAATTGATTTCTCAGTAATAAATACAGTAGTGTGCAGATTAATTGCAACAGGAGTAAGTTTTGTGATTATCTCATGTCTTAGCCTCCGACTAAATGTATTTTGGGTTTTCTTTTCTGAAGAAGTTGCTACCGACCTCTGGCAATCATCCAGCTGGTGTTATTCTGCTACAACACCTGTTGTTATGTAAGGCTATTCCTGCAAGCGTGCTATGTGAGTGAACGTGGTTTTTACCAACTCTCCCCTTCAATTCATGATTACTGGCGAAATTCAACCCCTCAAGGAAGTTTCCTTGACGCTGGTGAGGGGCTCTTGATCTAGGGAATTGGATCTGTGGTCCAGTTCCCTGAATTGAGTCTGAATACCTTCCATCCCCCCCACATGCACTGCATAATCCTATAATAATAATAATAATAATAATAATAATAATAATAATAATAATAATAATAATAATAATAATAATAATAATACTTGGTGAAATTCAAGGTACACCTAGGAAGCACGCAAGTATTTTGTTCTTAGAAAACATGTTGATTTGAGTATCAGACTGATCTCCAAAAATTGATCCTAGCAAAGTCAACTGTTGGTTGGATTCTGAAGAGAGCTGATGACACTTGTGGCTGTAGAGTGCTGCGTTGAGGAAGATGTGGAAGAAGATGCAAAACAACACCTCACCTTTTTCATGACCGAGATTCAGAATTTGGTCAACTCAGACATCTGATATTATCCTAACATCACATGACTTCAAAAAAGCAATAAATGCCTTGCCCATGCATTCTGCCCCAGGCCCAGACTAGTGGAACTTCATGCTCAAGAACTGTGCCCTTAGCATTTTATGGATAAGGAGTATGGACACAGGGGTCATCCCACAGTCACTAAAAACAAGAGACATAGACCTATTCCACAAAGGTGGCAGTGAGCAATAGCAAAGAATACAGACCGATATCGCTAACGCCCTATATCATAAAAATCTTCGAAAGGGTTCTGAGAAGCAAAATCGCCACCCATCTACATACCCATCAGTTACACAACCCAGGGCAACATGGGTTTAGAGCAGGTCGCTCCTGTGTGTCCCAACTACTGGACCACTATGACAAGGTCTTTGGTGCTCTAGAGGACAGACTAATTGCAGTTGTATACACAGACTGCTAAAGTCTTCGACAAGTGTGACCATGGTGTAATAGCAAACAAAACGCGTGACAAAGGAATAACAGGAAAAGTTGGTAGATGGATCTATCGCTTCCTAATAGAACACAAAAAGAGAAATAGCGAACAGAGTCAAGTCTGAAGCGGCTACAGTGATAAGCTCTGTTCCACAAGGCACAGTACTCTCCCCCATCCTGTTCCTCATCCTCATCCACGGCCATAACGCCCGTGTCTTCCTTTGCGGATGACGCCCGAATTTGCATGACGGTGTCCCCATCGAAAAAACTGCAAGTCTACAAACAGACGTCAACCAAATCTTTAAATGGGCTGTAGAAAATAATATGAAGTTCAGTGAAGAGAAATTTTACTCTTATATGGAAAACTTGAGGAAATTAAAACTATATCGGAGTATAAAACCAATTCTGACCACACAATAGAACGGAAAACTAATGTGAAGGACCTGGGAGTGATAATGTCAGAGGATCTCACTTTCAAAGATCACAACAATGTATCTACCACACCTAGAAAAATGATAGGATGGATAATGAGAACCTTCAAAACTAGGTATGCCAAGCCCTTGATGATTCTCTTCAGATCGCTAGTTCTCTCTAGGCTGGACTATTGATATACACCAATAATGCATTTCAAGGCGGGTGAAATTGCTGACCTGGAGAATGTAGAAAACCTTCACAACACACATAAGTACGATAAAACATCTAAATTACTGGGACTGGTTAAAGTTTCTTGACTTGAATTCCCTCGAATGCAGGTAAAAAAGATATACAATAATATGCACTTAGAAAATCCTGGAGAGATTAGTACCAAATTTGCACACCAAAACCACTCCCCGTAAAAGCAAAGGACTCGGCAGGCGGTGCAACATCTCCCCAATGAAAAGCAGGGGCCACGAGTACGCTAAGAGATAACATTAAGTGTCAGGGGCCCAAGACTGTTCAGCTGCCTCCCAGCATACATAAGGGGGATTACCAATGGACCCCTGGCTGTCTTGAAGAATGTGCTGGACAGGCACCTAGAATACCTGACCAGCCGGGCTGTGGTTCATAATGTCGGTTTGCTTGCAGCCAACAGTAACAGCCTGGTTGATCAGGCTGTTACTTTTGGCCCTGATTCACTATGAGGCCTGATCACAGACCGGGCCGCGGGACCGTTGACCATCGAAACACTCTCCAGGCATAATGGAGAGACGCGGGAGCTACTGAGAATGTCAGCAGGGCGCGCAAGGGTTGTAATATCCAATCAGTTAGGAAGCCATATAACGAGATTTGGTCATAATTTGAAATATCCGTATTAGCCAAACGCAGTAAAGCGGGGCCCTACTGTATTTCAAAATAATTCAGTTTTAAGGGAAGTGTTAAATTGGACGGCTAGCCGAAGCATTGCGTTGTTTCACATACCCCGGGGCGTCGCTCGTTCCGGAATTGTTAAGCATTCTAAAATCTCTTGGTGCCTGTGGTAGGACGGAACTAAATAACTAAACACAAGCCTGGTGCCCCTGGGGTATGAATAACAATGATTAGCTTCGGCTAGGCGTCCATACAGAAGAAGGGACAGGGACTCAAATGGGGGTCTTTACAGGTAACAGGTACAGCACTGTACCAGTGAGCTACGAGGCTTACAATAGAAAGTCTTCATAGATATCACTTCTGTGACATGTCTGTATTAAAAGTTCACCAGCTATGACCCGACTGTCCCTTCCCGGGGCCCTAAAAGCTTTCATAGTACACGTTTTCTCATGCACTCAAAGCTATATAGTCCATGAACTCATAAGTCGTAATGAACGACTATAAATGATAAAAATAAGAATGGACATAGACTCGTACCGTTGTCCTGACAAGCAACAAACCAAATCTTTCAATGAGCCGCAGAAAACAATATGAAGTTCAATGAATATAAATTTCAACTACTAAGATATGGAAAACTTGAGGAAATTAAAGCTGTATCAAGGTATAAAATAAATTCTAACTACACAACAGAGCGAAAAAAATGAATGTGAAGGACCTGGGAGTGATAATGTCAGAGGATCTCACATTTAAAGTCCACAACAATGAACCTACCTCATCTGATAGAAAAATTATAGGATGGATAAGAACCTTTAAAACTAGGGATGCCAAGCCCATGAGGACACTCTTCAGATCGTTTGTCCTCTAGGCTGGAATACTGCTCTACACTAACGGCCCCCTTCAAGGCAAGTGAAATTGCTAACCTAGAGAACGTACAGAGAAATTTCACGGCACATGTATGTACGATAATGCACCTAAATTACTGGGAACGGTTGAAGTTCCCTGATTTGTATTCCCTGGACAGCAGGCGAGAAAGATACATGATAATATACACTTGGAAAATTCTAGAGGGATTAGTACCGAACTTGTACACGAAAATCACTCCCTTTGAAAACGAATGACTCGTCAGATGCAACATTCCCCTAATGAAAAGCAGGGGCGCCACGAGTACATTAAAAGACAGCACAGCATAAATAAGGGGGGGATTACCAATAGACCCCTGGCTGTCTTCAAGAAGGCTTTGCACAGGCACCTAAAGTCAGTACGTGCTCAGCCGGGCTGTGGTTCATACTTCAGTGTACGTGTGGCCAGCAGTAACAGCCTGGTTGACCAGACCCTGATTCACCACGAGGCCTGGTCTCAGACCGAGCCGCAGGGGCGTTGACCCCCGAAATCCTCTCCAGGTATACTCCAGGTCCAGCACTGTACCACTGAGCGTCGTAAGCCACGTAGTTCAGTGGTAGAGTGCTGGACCTGTATGTTGGAGCAGCCTCGTAGTAATAGTGGTAGAACTTCTGACTGCTGTTCTGACGTTCAAGTCTCCCGACAATTTTCCAAAAGTTATCACTATGTATTACAGTTATCTCAGATATATTGACGAGACAGACTGAAGAGGAAGAGTAGGTAGAGTAGAGAGGGAGAGAGAGAGAGAGAGAGAGAGAGAGGGGGGAGAGAGAGAGAGAGTATACTACTTCAGTGTGCCTACTGTTCTCGTGGAGATAACGTGCTCTACACAACCAGGTGAGAAGTGGATACATACAGATGCTTTTAGAGACTGGCCTGATATATAGACATAGACAAGCACAGTAATATTATTATTATATTATACTGGCCAATGCTAGCCAGGCCTCACTCTCGCATTTATGTTCCTGTCTTCTCTCTTTTTTTTTTGTAAGCTACCAAAGTGCTGCTGTATGGTGCAGTGGTGACTTTTTGACTAGTGGTGGCTTTATTGACTAGTGGTGGCTTTATGACCAGTGGTGACTATTGACTAGTGGTGACTTTATTGACTAGTGGTGGCTTTATGACCAGTGGTGACTTTATTGACTAGTGGCTTTATTGACTAGTGGTGGCTTTATGACCAGTGGTGAATTTATTGACTAGTGGTAGCTTTATGACCAGCGGTGACTTTATTGACTAGTGGTGGCTTTATGACCAGTGGTGACTTTATTGACTAGTGGTGGCTTTATGACCAGTGGTGACTATTGACTAGTGTTGGCTTTATGACCAGTGGTGACTTTATTGACTAGTGGTGGCTTTATGACCAGTGGTGACTATTGACTAGTGTTGGCTATGACCAGTGGTGACTTTATTGACTAGTGGTAGCTTTATTGACTAGTGGTGACTATTGACTAGTGGTAGCTTTAT